TCAGCAGGAGTGACCATGCCAGCAGCACTGGGATGATCCTGTCTTTCACCCCTCCACACTTTTCCCCCTAAAATAGCAAATACTTAACCTTCTCCTACATCCATTTGCTGCTCTAGATTTGAATGCAGGCTGCAGACCATCCCCTCTGGGTGCTTTGTGATTTGCAATGTAGAAGGGGGTGAGGAAAGTTGTGGACGGCCTCCCTCTACTAGCAAAACCTCCCCTGCAGGTTCTGACCTGCAGGATTAGGCCACCCTTGTGAAACCCTTGAGTTTTGGGTCAATCCTTGGGTACTCTTTTTGGTAGAAGAGCCTCTGGGAGGTTAGGGCTGAGAGGAATCCTCATCTACAACATCATCCCAAAGCTGGGTCAAAACTCACAACAGAGCTTCTGAATGATGCTTGTAAGGCACCAGCCTGAAATGACAAAGTGATGTAGTAAGTTGGGATAAATCATTGCTCTTCTCATTGTCTCTGTTTCCCTAAGATTTGTCTGTCTGGATTCATTGGACTGAACACACTGAGAGCAGATGTTTCCTCTCTCTGGATTTGTATAGAACTTAGGACTCACTCCTAAGAGTGAGTTAAGCAAGAAGGGCTGCAGGATTGTTTCCTACAAAGCAACATTTCATTTTATTTCCCTTTTTCTCACTTATATTGCCTGTGCTGGTGAGACTGGCCACTGTAAGGCAGAGCCTAGGGTAGTGCCCCATGTCCTGGTGGATGGAGCAAACCTAAACCTTGAGGCATAGTATGTAGGCAAAAGAAAGAATACAAAACCTTGTGAAGCCAGCAGGGATCTGCAGATGAGAAGTAAACCTGTAGATAGGCTGTAGAACCTGTCCATGGAGGTGGCTGCTCATTTCAGCCCCTCACAAACCCAGCTGAAGGGGGGTTGTGACATTTTATTGCCTTCCCCCAACCCACTGCTATTCAGAATTAAGGATCCTTCACTCATTTTAAGTGATTTCATTTTAGAAACCAAGTAAGATAAAGCAGCTGAAGGCCAATCAGTTCTGGAGCAAAACTTGCTACAAATGACATAATGAAGGGCAATGAAATCCAGCTTAGAAGCAAACTCAGATTTGGTTTCCCAGTGAGCTCCTATGGAGAGGAATGGTGGATGTTTGAGCAGCTGGTGTGGAAATGGAGACAGAGATGAGTAGCTAGATCTGATAAGGGGATTCTGAGTAAAACAGAAGTTAGTTTTTCATGTCCTTGGAGAAAATCCACACTAAATATCCTTCAGAAGTGGGAACTGGTTTCTCAACCACGTGAATGCAAAACAAAGCCATCCCTTTCCAGATGTTTGGCCTGTCCACACTTAAGGCAACATCCCACATTTCAGCTCTCTCATTGGACACACAAAACCTCTGGGTCAAATCCTGCTGTCATTTATACCTGCACAAACCCTGAGTGATTTCACCAGAGCTGGAGGAGTTAGTCTGGATTAGAATCTGAACTCAGGCATTTGAAATAATTTATCCCTTGCATGTTTAGTCCTGGAGCTCCTTTGGCCATGCTCTGAGAGCAGGGCACCTCCCAGCCAGAGGGACTTATGGCATAGAAAATCAACTTTACTTCCCAGAAAAGGAGCTATACTACTAAGAACTGTGCCCAGAGCTGGGCTGAATGGCCAGGGCAGAGCTCAGCTCAGGCTTGCAGTTTCCCTCAGCCCTGGTTACCAGTCTTACACTTTCAAAACCTGACAGACCTTTAAAAAAAACCCAACTCCCCATTCTCTCCCTTCCCCTAAGCTGGTATAAATGCTAAGGAATACCTTCAGGACATGTCTTTCTGTGTTTTTCCCTGGTCAAAGAAGATGAAACACATAGGTAAGCACATATATGAATAAGAAGAGAGATTTTAATTGAATTCTGTGACTTGAAGGAGTCACCTACACTCAAGAGACTTGCAGGAGACCTATGCAGTCTGGCAATGCTGCTCCTTTGCTGTGGAATAATTCACATTAAACACCTAAGGAAAACTGAGCTGGTAGCTGGTGGTTTCAAAGGTTTCCCGTCCTGTCCCAACCTCACATTCCATCACTTGCCTCTGCTCCTTGTCACCCCCCTTGCTGTGACACTGCAGGGTGTCAGCCAGGCTGCAGGCTCTCCAGGGACAGAGAGCTGAGCAGTGTGCTGCTGGATCAGACACCAACATAGCTGAAGGGATACCAGGTTCAAGGGACAGTAGGTAGGACAGGGCACCCACAGCTGGGAACCACAGAGCACCTCTGGACCTGGCAGCTGCTGGAGCACTTTGAAGCTTCCAACACCATTTTTTTCCCATGCACCTGATTTTCTTGCTCTGGATTTTCTGGTCCTAAGACAATGCTGCCCTACTTGTCTTTCCATCCTGGCTGTCAGAAATTAATAGAAACCCACAGGCCCACCTGGTTTGCAGCACAGATGCACTCAGGATGTCAGGTGTGTTTGGATCTGGCTTGGCAGGACTTGCTCTTTGACAAACAGTCTCAACACCTGATCCAAAACCCACCCTGGGACGGCCTTGCTCCAATCCTGAGCACTTGTGTTTGCCAACTTTTTTGGGGATCTGAACATCCCTAGGCAGCAAAAAAAAAGTGGCTTCATTTTCCAAAGGGCTGAGGAGTTTGTAGCAGGTGGAAGGTACTGCTGGTGGAGCAGTGGCTGCTTTGGAGTGGATTTGGATCCCTTTGGACCAGGAGAGAGATGGGGCTGGAGATCCTGTTATGTGAGGTGCCTGTAAGATACTGGGTGCAGAGAAAGGGGGGTAATTAATCACAGTTCTGCAGAGTTTGAGACCTAGGAGGCAGAAGATGAAGAGAAGAAGGTCTCAAAGAAACAGGACAATGCATGTAAGCAAAACACATCAGTGGATTCAAAATAGGACTGGACAAATTAATACAGGACAGTCCATCAGTAGCTGTTTCACACTGTAGCCTGGATGCAAATTTCTGCTGCAGGAAGGTCTTAAACTGCTGATGACCAAAAGCTGTGACAACCATAAGAACTGTCTCTTTATCTAAACATCCTAAACTGGCAGCATCAGGGGAAGGGCTTTTAGGACAGAAGGTTGACTGAATAAGGTTATTTTCTTATATATCTCTAGAGCTTCTGTTTTTCTAAGGCCACAGAAACCTGGTGCCTTGCTGAGCACCCAGGAACATCCAGGGTATGGTCCAGTTTGACAGGCTCTACACAATCTACCTTGTGTCTTCTCTGCACTTGCTGCTCAGGACCCTAAAAAAGCAGAGGAGATGCTAGAAGTGCTTCAGCCAGGTGAGCACTGCAGCCACAACTCACCAAGATTTGATCTAAATTTCACTCATCTTTTCCCAAGAACCTGTGCTGTGAGCCTACCCATTGCCAGCCCAACATCTCTCATCCTGCAGATGCTCATCAGCCAACAGAAAGGAACAAACATCATCATTCCTTGCCAACATACAATACCTGCCTTGCTGGCCACCCAGGGACATCCCAGATGAGTTTTACCAAGCTTTAGGGTTTGTCTGGACTTGCTCTTATAGTCATGGAGTGTTCAGCTACACAGATCAGCTGAAATTCACTCCACCCTCAGCTGAAATTCACTCCACCCTCAAACCACCACCTAAAATAAACCAGATCAGCTGTGGGGATTTTTCCCACCCTCCCCCCCCCTTTGGGCAGCTGGCAACTGCAGTAATTGGTTCTCTTAGCAGCACTGAGAAGATCTGTGGAGCTTAGGAGCAAAGTTTTTGCTGGCACGAGCTCTGGGAGCAAGAGAAACAGCTCAGGGAAGTCAGAAATAGTGTCACAGACAGGTACATCACCCAGATCCAACTAGGTGGAAGCATGAGGTCATCCTGCCCCTGCAGAAGTTAACCACTCTGTAAGAGCTGACAGCAAATCCCTTTTCATCAGCCCTCCTTAATTTGCTTCAGCATCAATTCCTTCTCTGAGGGAGCTTGGCATCAATATTATCCAGGCTCAAGGGGTGTGAGGAGGTTGGGCACCAGGCAGGGAGGTGCAGAAGGACAGTCCTGCCCTTCAATCCTGCTGTCACAGACAAGGGGTGAATGGAAGGGATGGAGGCTCCTCCCTGGTCTCCCCACTCCTGCAATCAAATCTCTGCTTCTCTCTCTCTCCATGTCTATCACCTCTCAGCTTCCCTGCACTGCTTATTTTTTTGCCAGGGAACAAACAGATGAACAAACAATATTCCTTGTGGGGAAAAATATCTAGGAATGTTTCCTTCCCCCCACACCCAGCCTTGTTCAGAGAGAGCAGAAATGTAGAGCAGGAGTCAGGCCAAGCAGGGAAGGATGAGATGACAATGCAATCCAGAGGCTGTGAATTCAGTTTCAGTTCAGC